TCACACTGGGGTAAATGAGTAAAGCTAATATGTACGTGAAGTTTTATACTATATTACAAAACAATTTCCCTCCTCTCACTCTCTGTTGCACAAACCGAGGATGCTGACTGAAGAAAAACTGCCAAAGTGGTCAAAAAGGAGCAGTGGTTTCCTGCAGCACTCCTCTTTCTAATACTACACACCTTTTTTCCTTTTAACGTGCTAATACACACACACTTTGAAGTATGTGTTGATACTATCAGTGCTGGTGTTTCTTATAGTTTGTTAAGGCTCTTTAAAAATGAAGCCATGGGCCTTTGGTGTCAGACAAGTAAAAGGTCACTTTGGATGAAGATGGCACGAGACATGAGTGCATCTTAATGATGGTGACAAATGAGATTAATCAGTCTGCTCAGAGATGCTGAAGAATTAATGCTGTGCATAAATCCATCTGTTTCTAAACATGTTCTTAGGCGAGCGAGCGTCAGCTGGGTCACAGTGAGCGACTGAAGGAGATGAGGGAAATGGCGACAGTCCATGAGCGCCAACTGGCCGTGATACGTGCTCATAACCAGCAGTTGGAGCAGTATAGAGATGGTGTGGAGGAATAAAATACCAGAAGTTGCTCGAGACTGGTTATATCGTTACATTATCAACATACAGAAAGTACCATGCAAAGATTTAAAGTATCATGTCACATTTGACCTCTGACCTCTCTGTCAAGGTCAATAAATTGATCTGAAAATCAAAGTTATAAAAACTATAGAGCTATTTAAAACTAAAATTAGCACAAAAAGAAAGGAAATTTGTGTTTGATGGATTGTTTCTTGTAACAATGTTTATTGGCTATGAGTCGTTTGCTGTTGGAAAGCCTGTTTATTTCCCCTTAAATGGAGCCACATTTGTAACGTGGGTTGAGCAGCAGAGTTGAATATGGGGGTTGCGTCCATGAAAAACGTGCCAGATCCTCTCTGGCAATGTCAGACAGCTTATTCTTTGTTGTGTTGTTTATTAAATTGTATCATTAAAGAAATATAGAGATATTGGCCATTGAAGTACTGTATATATTTAGTTAACAAGCACAGGCCTCAGTAGCATGTGGAAGAACCACACAGAGCCACAGCAACCGGGCACCTGCTCCTCATGCTGGTCATCAGCTCAGTCGCATACTGGTGTCATCCCATTCTTCGACCAGCAATTGTCGCCAGGTCAGCCAGTGTGGCTCTGGCAAAAACGGATGATCTGATATCCTCGTGTTGGTGTTGTTCCCAGACCATCATGAAAATGTTGTTCCAGGTTCAACATTGCAAGTGACCAATCACATTGTTGTGACGTTATTCTTTTGCGCGCCAAGCCATTCGTGCATTTATGAAATTCCAATGTTGCAAGGACAATATCAATTCTGCTTACTGTTTATTAAAGGGTTAGGGTTAGGGTCAGGGTCCGTTGATCGACGGACAGAGGCGGTTTCTCGCAGTTTAAGTACAGTTTTTTGTTTTACGCCGGTTTTTCCCGAAGTCGCAAAAGTATGACGTCACAACATTCTGATTGGTCACTTGCAATGTTGATCCTGGAACAACATTTTCATGATGATCTGGGAACAACACCAACACGAGGATATCAGATCGAGCGGCAAAAACGGCACATCCAAACTGATCCCACAAAGGTTCAAAGGGGTTGAGGGCAGAACTGCAGACTGGCCACTCTGTCCTCTCACTCCCAAAAACTGGCGGTAGTCTCTGATAAATCCCACTCATGGAGAACAGCATTTGGTTCCAGGTTGTGGAGATATGGGATTGCCGTTGGTTGCAGAGTCCCCAATGATGACAAGCCTTGTTTTTTACAGTAAAGCTGCCTCATGCCAGAAGCTGCGGCAATCAGCATAGCAGTCTCTGCGTCTTCTCCACACTGTGACCCTAACATCCAACTAGCATAGACAGAATGTGGACTCATCGCTGAAGATAACGTTGCTCCATATGGGACCAGAGATTGGCTGTGTGAAGTTGGTTCCAGATCGCAACTCCAACTTGGTTTTGCAGAACACCAGCTTGAAGTTGGTTTATGACATGAACCTTATCCAGATCAGTCAAATGTTACATGCTTGGAGCACTCACCTACTGATCGCTGTAGCAGGGTCGATGCTCACAGGTGGTGCCAATCAAGCACCTGACTGTCAGCACTTGGGGTAACAGGGTATCTTTCCAGCAACTTATTTAATCGTTTTTTCTTTAAAATACTGAAAGAAAAACAAAACAAAAACTTTAAATGTATTTAATTATTTCCCATTGATGATAAATGATAGATAATATAGATGTTAATAAGGTGATAGATAACACAAAGTGATGGACTGGGATGAAATCTACAGCATTTCAGCTGGTAACAAAATTTACTTGATATGTGTTAGTCTGAGCAGGGACATATTCACGGTATTCAAACATAACTCACTGCTCATATTGTATTTTTCACACAAGAGGCATATTCTTTGTAGCTAGAATATTTTTTCTAGCTACTGGATGAGTCAAAGCATCAATTATGTATTTCATTAGGGGGTAGTCCCTCATTGTGGTGTCTGTGGTAGTCTAAATTAAATTTAGTAGGGTGGATTCTGGCTGGGAAACCTTTGATAAATGGCACAGCATTGTCTAATTTCAATGATCTGTTACAGTGCTTTTGTTCTTGTTTTGTTTTTTGAGTGTGCAAGAGGACTCTGCATCTGCCAATCGACCAATTACCCTCCAGCATAAAAACATGCATCATGACACCTAAAATTCTTCTGTGGAAACCATTTTCCTCCATTTCTCTTGCTTTAAAAACAAAACAAAACGTGTGAATATGAATTAGCTTTCTTTTTATGAGGTTAAACCATGTTTGTGCTGCAGAGCCCCGCAGCAGGCAGGTCAGATCCAGCCACTGTGGTACAGATGATTGATCTGCAGGCAAACACCCAAAGCCTGGAGAGAAATCAACCACCACCAGCAAGCAGCTGCCACCGCCATGGCCAGAAAGAAGACTAAGAATCAGAGTGATCACGAAGAGAAAATATGTAGTGCTCATCACTGTGTAACCCTCTGTCAACACAGCTGTGCTCAGTGAAGCCTCGATGAAGTTTACTCAGCTTGATTTTTCCACTCTAAAAAGTGATTTACTCTTTGAAGTTTATGGAGATCAGATTCTGGTCCAACATTTGTTTCCTGTGATTAGTTCTAACACCCCAAAAACAGGGATAAATTAGAGTTGTGTATAGAGGCAACAAAGAATATAACTGAGATATTGGTTTAGGTTGCGGGATCCAGTGAGCCAAAAAGAAAAAGCATTGCCATGGAGGTGGAGCGGTTTTTGCAATACAATTCTGCAAAATCTGTTCTCTGGTAGTTCTTTGAGGTACAGAGCAAAATACATGCACTTTCCTTAATATTTACTGCAGTGTTATGTGCCAGTTTTTGGAAGGGAATTACCAAGTACCAGGTGTTAGCATGATTATATCAACTCGAGGGAATGTTTTGAAACTACAGGACTGGACAAAGAGCCACACTGTTAAGATATTTTAGTGCTACAGGGACATGATTAGAGTGATAAAAGTGCTGCTGAAATTAGTCACAGAAATACATATCTTGCTTAGTTACAGCCACCTTGTGTCTGTGTGTTCTACAGCTCCAATGACTGAGACCGAGCTTGTGTTGATTTAAAGGGTCAAGCTTCATCAGGTTGCCAGTTTGCAGGCCAAGACCGAGAGAAGGAAAAAAAGGAAAGAAACTCGCAAGCCCAGGATGCCACCTTCTCTATCTCCGCTTCAGCAAAAAGAACTCCATTTATACACCCGTTTCAGTTAAGATTTCTAAAAGATCCAAAAGACAAAGATGTGTCATTCAGGACAGTTTTAAGTACTAAACTTCACTTTATTGCTGGTGATTTTCTGTGACGAGAATTCATAAACTCTGTTTGGTACCCAAAGAGCATATTATATGTTGCCATCATAAGCCATCACAAATCATGATTTGTTGTTTTTGTAATGCTCTGAGACTTGTAGATTTTTTTAATGACTGAATATAACCTGTAGAGCACTTCAGCAGGCTTCAGATGAGCCAAGAACAATCGGGCCGTTGGTGTTTATCTAAAAAGAAATATGATTAAAACAGTAACTCGTCCTGAGTTTAATTCATGTGTAAAGATAAAATGTTAAGACTTGCACACCTGCAGGGGTACTCAAATTTCAGGAAACTGCATCCAGCACCTGGCACAGATTGCTATTAATGGGTGCTGATTATACATGTCCCAAATTAATCTTGAAAATAGCATGTTTCTTTTACTCGTAAGAACAGTTTCACTCCAATTTGGAATCATTAATAAACAGTCCTGTCTGTCCTCAAAGCTCCACAGCAGCCACTAGAGGGTGCCAGTGCACAGTTTGTGCCAATAAGTATTGCCCAGCTAAAAAGCAGTAGCATATATTCATTAAGTGTTCAGTCCTCAGTTTCAAGTTGCAGACTCTTTGTTTAGGTACATGGTGAAGCAAGTAATACTTCAACTCATCATTTGTCTCCTTATAAACTTAAGGTGGAAAAAAAAAAAAAAAACCCCAAAAAACAAAAAAAAAAAAACAAAAACATGGAGCACATTTGGTGTATTTGGTCAATAGCAGAGACATGCAGTGTGGAAATGCCTAATAATTGCAGCAGTGGCAAAATATAAATATGCAGTTTTTATAGGTTAGGATGGCTCTTCATGTTTGAATTTGATGCCACAGTCCTTCACCTAACATACCAGGCCAGTCAGGAGCTGAAAGACATGGCCATACAGAAAGCACCCCTTCTTATCTGCATTGATTCAACTTCTGTCTCTTACTTTACTCTCATAGGGAGGCCTTCCAATAATATGTAGGGTGGTGAAAGATTCTGTGAAAATAGTTCTTTACATAATTTATACAGTCCAAAAGTTGTTTTGGACATCTGCTCATAAGTGCATAGATGTGAATAATTGGAAGGGACTACAGGTGTGACATCAATGGACTGAAGAAATCAATATTGCATAGTTACATCTGCAGATTCTTTATTTTTACTACAAGTATACAAAAACTTGACAGACAAATCTATGAAAATGGATCTTATTTACAGAAACAAGAGTGCTGAAAGGTGTATAGGGGCTGGACAGGCATGACGTGCTGGTTTCTGAGCTCAGTAAAGAGGTGAAGACTGTCACGCCGGGGACTCGACAGATGCAGACTGGGTGGCAGACTAGAAGGAAAAAAAACAAACAAAACAAAAACAAAACAAACACTGCAATTAGTGAATGTTAACATAAGAGGCGACAAATGAGTGAAGAATTTTAAACCTGCAGGTTTGTCAGATATTCACTTGTTCCATTTGGTAAACTTTCACAGAAAGCATGAATTTTACTTTTTCAAAATTGCCTTCAGCTACAGCAAGATTGATGCTGTGTAGTTTAAGTGGATAAATCATTCAAAGACCGAGAAAACCTCCTTCACTACAACTCAATTAAGGACCCACTCCAAGTTCTCGCATGCGTCCAGTTTTAACCTTTATGAAACTAAGGAGTCTTCTTGTTCCACCAGAAACCACATTTAGGTATGGACCCCTGGCCACCAGCCAGCTACAGCAGTAGTATCACAGGGCAATCCTGCTTCAGAAGGTAAGAGATAAGCCTATCACTCGCCTCCTGCGATTTCCCCTCCTGGACTCCATTGCCGTTGCTGGCACTAGAGTCACCGCTGCCATTAACTGTGGCTTCCTGTTTCGCTTGTTTAGCATCAGTGTCCTTTACTGGGCTCTCGTCCTCTGGTTTCCTCTGTGCAGAAACAAAACCAGGACAGGGAGGAAGAGAAGACTGAAGGCTTCTGTACACAAACCGAAATTGAAGTGATCCATTACCAGTCATTAGGAAAATAATAACTTAATGAACCATGCACACAAGCCACACCAAATCAAAGCTTAATTTCAAGCATAAAGTCCCATCTACATGCGCACACAGCTCTGGTTAGGAGCCACACCACACAGGCTTGCCACTGATCTGCAGAAAAATCTAAAAATGAATTTTACAACTGCAACCAGCAAAGACAGACCTCACAACAAAGACAAGCAGCACATGCCACAGCTTCAATGCACTGATTGAACCCAGTACAATTCCACGCTGAAGGTTTATTCCTTCACAGATTAAATGATTGGCATGAGAAAAAGCAAAGTCCATTTTTCCTCTTCACTGAGAAGCCAAAGGGGGGTGGGAGACATATTAGAGAGCCTCACCTTTTTCCTGACGAGGTGAGAGATGTCAGAGACTGCTTTGGAAGATGAGGAACTCTCAGTTTTAACTGGAACCTAGAATACACAAGTTTGAATCCCACCAAATAAGTAACACAGGTGGCAAAATGCTTTATTTAGCATGTGGCACCATACAGTACCCTTACCTGACTGGTTGTTGCAAAAGCTGCCGATGAAGTGCTGCCATTTTCACAAAGGAATGCTGATGAAGTTGATGCACCACCCTGAAAGAGGAGAGCCAAATACAATTCAAGACTACTGAACTAGTAAACCCAGGTGCAAATTTCACCATCCTGTGTACCCACTAGTGTCTGCTGGATGGCCTGTGAGGCAGCACTGGCTGTTTTCTGGCTTTCCTTGGCATCCTCCACTTTTTCCCGGATGTCAGGCAAAAGCAGCTTTAGCTCATCCAGCTCAGTTTTCTCCTCTGCTGCTCCATCTGCGCCTTCGGCTGCATCGATCACCTCCTGCAGCATGGCTGTACCAACAACCAGATCAGAAAGTCACAACATGGAAGACAACACAATTACAGCCTTCTGGGACAGTTTATGTTTTGGTGTTTAGTGGGTGTCGTGTCCTCTCCCAAAGAGATGCAGTGCTATTCATACCTACAAATCACAATCATTATTTGGATTTCATATATTAAGTACAAAAAATAAAATATTCAGTTGAGGGGAGGAGTAAATTCTTACCCAAACGGGTCTCAATGACCTTTATGGAGCTGTTGTAGTGCTGGATGGCCTGGCTGTACTGATCCATATAGCAGAGCGTAGTAGCAACATGGTAGTGGGTCTCAGCCAACAGACGAATGTGGGGAGGCAAGTATTTCAGCTGCAGGGCAAGACACTCCTGGAAGTCATCAAGTGCCTGAGGATAGTTACCTATGGGTGGGAGTGACAAGCAGTGAGATTTGGGCATTGGAGACTGTAAGGGCAGTAAGTCTACATCTTGCAGGAGCAGCAGCATACCTGATTCAGCACTGACTTCTCCAAGTTTCAGATATGCCTGGGCTGCCATTAGCTGATCCTCTGTGCTTTCCTTTCTGTGCAGAAGTAGCTTTAAAATTGTAAGCTGGCCTCAGGCTGTCACATAACAGTCAATGCAGTCTAACCACCCATTTAACCATGCAAGCGCAAATGTTCATACACATTTAACCAAATCATTCCATACCTTTTGTAGATGACTTTAGCTACTTCTAGCATTTCCCATGCCAACTGCAAATTCCCAACTTCCTCTTCTTCCTGAAAGGAGGGCGGGAGCTGTGTTGGTCAATAGCCACTAACACACTAACACTATTCAGCAGACATTTACAGTACAAACTACTTCAGGCACCTGATATCTGCATTTGTAGGAAAATGTTTTTCAATTCTTAAGTTAAAATCCAGAAGAATTAAGATCTTTGTGATCATAATGTCATAGTAAAGAAACACGTAGCTACACTGCTTGCAAATTATTTACTTCATTGCACAGTTCTATAGGAACTCGCCTTATCTTGTCCATTTTTCTCTCCATCATCATCGTCGTCATCATCATCATCATCGTCGTCGTCATCATCTGTTGAAGCAAAATTATACAAGTTCTAAACATCGCCTCATGTATTAAAGTCAGAAACGTGCACCACAGATTTGTGCCTGCATTTCCACCCTTCACCACTGCGACACCTGCTGAAGTGGACCGTTTAAATATCAACTGTGCACCCATCCACACACCAGAAGGTGCTCTTTGACTCAAGCTCTACTACCCTCCGTTTCCTCTTTGTCCTCATCACATCCTCTCACTGGTTTCACCCCAGTCCCATTGCCAGTCTGCTCTTCTGAACTGTCAGCCTTCTGTTCAATCTCAGTTTCTTTTCCAAGTGATCCTTCCCGCACACTTTTCACAGAAGAAACTCCATCCATCTCAGTTTCCTGAGTTAAGCTCTTCTCATCCCCAGTCACAGGAGAATGTGGATCCTCAGCCTTTTCCTTCTCTGCCATTGCATCATATACCTGCTGTCGCAGCTCATCTCTTGTTTTTTCTGCACCAGAGTGGCACATATAACTTGATCTTTCAGATAATGATTTATAAATAACCAAGCTGATTCTACTGACGATTTCGCCAGAGCGCTTTTCTGGCAGAAGGGATTGTAGTAAGACACTGATATGTAAAATAAAGTCTAAAAAAATTTAAAAAGCCCAGTAACTGGAAATCTAGTACTAAATGTAAACAAAGGCAGTTTTAGGTCCCATCTTTCATTACATATAATCTTACTACACATGCTAAAATTATCTGTGCGCTTAAAAAAAAAAAATCTGCAGCACCTAAATACTGACCATCAAGGTTGTCTGGACTCTCAACATTTGAGCTGCTGGGCTGCTCCTCTTCCTCTGATTCTTCTGGGACTCCCTCCAGGGCATTGCCAAGGACACTGTTCTCCATCCTATTTATATGAAAAACAAAACAACCCAACATAGACAATATTGCTGAAGTCAAAAATAGGTGCAGTTCATGAAGGAACCAATAGAATTCGTGTCCAAAAGCTGTCACTATGAACAGTTCTTGTAGGCTAAGAAGCAAACATTATTCCTTTGAAATAATGCTGTGTCAACAACAACAAAAAAAAGTTTTAAATAATTTTTTTTTAAAGTATTATTTTCACAGGTGCAGCTTTTAGGGAGTATGTTTAAGATAAGAAATTTGACAAACCTAGCAAGTTCCAACAGAGATTTCCCACAAAGGAAGAAGGCCTCGCCACACTCATCTGCAGTGTCCCCATATTTTTCAGCCCTAGATGGAGAAATGTATTTGTTGTTTTGTTTGTTTTTTTATTAAATAAAATTGTAATCCAATGTAGTGAGGTAGTTATGAAGCTAAAGTAAAATTTAATCCTTTGAAATAATACATTAAAATACTTTACTCCATTTGGAAAAATATATTACAGAAATCTATCCATTTCAGCGGGAAAAGAAAAATCCATAATCAAGTTTCAATTTCTAACTGTACAGTGACAGCACTAGTGTTTCACATCAAGTCTTACTCACAGCATGCTACAGGCCTCCTGGAAAACATTGACAGCAGAAACAACATCCCCCATCACCAGATGCCTTTTCCCTGTGCCAATCAGTTTCTTTGCCTCCTCCAGAACTTCAACTGAGCTACAAAAGGAACAGAAAACTCGCGTTAGTTATACTGACTAACTGTTAGACTAAGTGACTAACAGTTGCGGAACAATTTGCCATTAAACTGGATACTCACCTGCCTGCTGCAGCAGCTGTCGATGAGCATGGCTTCTCCTCTGCACTGCAATAGTTTAAACTTAAGTTCAGTCAATGCTTATGCAAGTTACCTGATTCTGAAGTACAGAGTCCACGCTCCAAACTTTCACTACTCAGTAAATGCCCGAAGATAGCTACGCCTCATTGCTGTTAGCATCGTGCAGTTGTTAGCCAACTAGCTTAACAGTATGAGGGCAGAGTTATGTTATCAACGTGTGCAGCTGCCGTGAAGTACTGCTAAGCACGCAGTTGTTTTTTTTGTAGAGTATCACTTTCTGGAGCTATCGTTAAAATAGCTTATATCCAACACCTATCATCAAGGTTTGCCTACGTTCTCCGCGTAATTCAGCTAAGGGCTAGCAAGCTGTGTTTTCCCTGCATACGTTATTGTGGACCTGAGTGAAAAATGACAAACGACTCGTACCTCTCAGAGCTCGACGCGACGGACGTTTCCTCTGGCATATCTTCAGAAAGGCAGTAAAGACGCCGGAAAAGGACAATAAACAACGGTCTGTTATTCCGCGAATAAAGTACAGACAGACCCTATAGGACAGCCTTTGTTGGCGCGCTTAAATAGAGAAAAGAAGGATTTCTATTTCCGCTTAACTTGGAACGCGGGAGATTGGATTTAAAGGGGCCGTAGCAACTATCGTGATGCGTTTAGGGTCCATAGGAAAGACAATTGTTAAGGTTAAAATGAGCGTACGAAACACTACGACACGTTGGCATTAGAAATAATAGTAGTACTGCTATTACAGTTAATAATAAGGGACTGGGCGAGGGTGGTAACATTTTAAAGTTATAATTAGAAATTGTAATGGCTGTACAATTAATTACATGTCATGAATAAAAATGTCCTTATCAGATACATTAAGAGACTTTAGCCATATACAGTTACAAGTTGGCTCGCTAACACAGCCACAATCTACATTTGTCAAAATAAATGTAGGACAATGCAAGGTTACTTCTAATACGACATGTAGTACTGGTTATCCTTTACCGTAGACGTGTGTATACATCTACTCGAATCTCAACCTTTTAAATAAATTGTGAAACTAGGGCTGATTGTGATTCTTTTGTATGTTTTGGTATCGTAGCTTCTCGTGTGGCCTCGTTGGCGCAGTAGGCAGCGCGTCAGTCTCATAATCTGAAGGTCGTGAGTTCGAGCCTCACACGGGGCACTGTTTTTTTCGTCGTTTTTGAATGCTTTTTCCCTTCTTGCCGTTTGTTTCTTAAAAGATTAGTCGTCACACTAGTAAAACGGAAAGAAACAATAACAAGAATTTAACATATATTCAGGAAACTTAAGATTAAAGGTTTCCCTCTTCATTTAGTCAAAATACAAATTAAAACTGTTAAAAGCAGTAATGTTAGCCTCTTCAGAGTCGACGGTTGATTTTTCCTAGTAAAATTAGCAGTAACACGTGTGAAGTGTACAGCGAGTTTTTTTAGACCATTTTTTTCACCGATCAAGATATGGAGCTGAATGACAGAAAAAAATGAGACATCTGAATGGCATTGCTTAATACCAAGTCCTGTATTACAGAGAATGTAAGCTGACGGGATACAGTATATATTTTCTATGTATAGTTTATGCAATTGTCAGATAGCTCAATATCTGCTTTAATCAGAGCCTTTTTCGGCTGTTAGACCCAAAGTTCTCAGCAGGTGGCGCCCATGCTCTACTTTTAAATCCCATTTTCTTCTTCACTTCATTCGACTGCTCTCAGAAATTCATTGAATTGAATGCATCTTATTTATAGAAACGCCAGCTGTGCAATGTGCCACATATAACCACAATAAAAAATAAATAAATTTTTAAAAAGTAATAAAAAAGCAAGTGGACCCTGGAAATGAGCAAAATGTGAGAAAACTTTTTAAAAACCAATTATTCCGTTAAAGCACGCCAAGTTAAAGTGGCTTTTTCCTTAAGTGCTTTATGGCAACCACAGAAACAATGTTTGGAAGCATTGGGCCGCTCATGCCAGTAATTAAGTAATTGAAGTAAAGCGAGAGAGGGAGTCGACGAGCGGGAGGAGGGCGCTGAGCCTGACACTGGGCTGCAGACAGACTTAGTGGCTGCAGATGAAGTTTCTGGTCACACTGCACGGTGCGACTTTCAGGAATTCATAATAACCGTCCAGATTTTCTAACTTCCCTCTGACATGTTGCGATGTTCCGTGCAGCCTTTCAAAACGTGGACTTGTTTTGGGTAATTTTGCTGTGTTTTGTTCTTCTACCGGAGGCTGGCGGTAGATCAGCCGATGCAGACAGCTGTCATGAGGTGAAGACAGCCTACATGATGCGCCAAATAGGCCCGGTGGAGCTGGTGCCAGACAGACCGGAACCAGGTCAGTCAGTCAATCCCTTTGGAACTATTATATTTAGCAAACTTTACTTGGATTTATTAAAATATTATACTTTAATTTAGAAAGACATGATATATAAAAACTTTTCCAGCTTTTTATAAATGAGGCCAGAGCAGAGCTTTGTTTGCCTGCATACATCAGTGGAAAGAACCTAATAATTAAGTAATCTGTCTTGATACAGCCTAACATTGATTGGCTGTTTTATTGCTGTTAGACTTATGATTGAACACGTGAATACAGCGTGAATAAAACTTAGCCAAAATGGTTATGACCACTATGAGGGGCCGCATTTTAAATAGGGAGGATCATCTCTGTAGACAACCCTTTAATGTGAGAGAGAAATGAAAGTTTGCTGAGAAATGAATAAATGAATAAAGTCCTCTCGGGAGGACTTGCATCACCTATTTGTTTTCTAAATATAAATTCCCTTTTAAATTCTTGTGTGTGTCTGTGTGTGTGTGTGTGTGTGTGTGTGTGTGTGTGTGTGTGTGTCCGCGCACGCGTATTATACCATTCACATTTTATGACATTCCCATGTGTGCTATCTTCGTCACTAAGATTTCTCCAAGAAAACGCAAAGTGTGATCTGGCAATCAACATTGTTATAGACATATTAACTTATGCTTTGACCATTTATAAGTCTCACCTAAAAGCTGTACTTGTCTTTACTATGAAAGTGTTACTTGCTGGTTACCACTGGTTAATAACACAGTAATTACTATTTATAGGTATTTTGCAGAAAATGTCTGTGCAAAGGTGCTTCTTCTTCTTGTTCAGTGATCTGGTGTGACCCTGAATAGATTAGCTTGAGGAAGATGTCAGTCACATGTGCCAGCATGAAGGCACAACCGACCAGGCTTGTCAGTGATCTTTGCTTCCACATCCTAAACTTCAAATTTCAGCTGAAGTGTCCACTAAAAGTATTTGCCCTTAAACGCCCATAGTTCAATTTGAAAATAATGCATTTTAAAAAGAGCTTAAAACAGCATAAAGATCCACTTACTGCAAATTTGTGAAGGTTCCACCTTTTGATCTGTGTGACACTAAACTGCATCTACAGGTGAGTGCAGTGCAGCTCAAAGCGCTGAAAATTTATCAACAAGCAGACCTTGTATTACGACTAGAACATAAGTCAGCACGGTTTGCTGAATCATGCCTGCTCAGTCCGTTCTGGTGTGGTTATTTGTTGGGGCAGTTTCAAATCTTGTTGCAAAGGTGAAAGAGATCAATACTGGATGCATGCAGCTTCAAACTTACCTGCTGTTCAAAAAGCAAACCCTGAATGCAACACTACCAAAATTCTTCTATTATCAGCCTGTGAATGACCCAAGGTTTGGCACTGTTTTGTTATTTGTGTGTGAGCGTGTTTGTGCGCTGCATACAGTCCATTCCCCTCATCTCTCTCTACCCCTTGATCTCAGTCAGCTGCTTGACAGCTTGGTTTACAGTAGTCTGTCAAAGTTAGACTGCTCCTAGTCACACACACACACACATGCATACACACACACACACACACACACACAAATGCACAAACATTGGTGTGAGTGGTGAAGTTTCACTCGCTGCTCATGTCATCATGTCACCTCCCACCAGGCCCGTTGTGCAAAGCATTTTTGAGGTCACAAAGTTCTGTGCACCACATGCTTTTAAATTCTAAATAACCGATTGGATTTACTAATCGACTGGCTAATAAAGTTTGTTGATGATAAAATGTGGACAAAATATAGACCTTTAGTTAGTAGCAGAAAGTTCCTGAGCTAAGCCCCAAATCATTCTCTGTCTTTCACATATGTTCATATTTATATGAACAATAAGAAATTTGCAAACTGCTGAAGTAGTATAGTAGGTCGAGTGTTGAACGATTTTCTGTGACCTAATAAGCCCTGGACCTGGTATCCAGGCCTTTTTTTTTAAGGTATATAATTCCTTTGTCTTTCAGATGAGTCTCTCCGAGTGTGTGTCCACCCTGGGCCCAGCTGCTGTACCAGTAAGATGGAGGACAGCTACATGGCAGCTGTTCGCAGTGAAACACAGCAGAAGATGCGATCTTACAGTTTCGAACTCAAGTACCTGATTGCTGGACACATCAAGGCGTACCAAGGTGAGGGAGGGATATTGAATTGAGTTCATACAATTAAAATAATTCTTAAACTATACTGATTTCTCCTTTTTAACTCAATTTCAATTACATTTTATTGAAATAGCTCCAAATCACAAAAACTGTTGCCTTGCAACACTTGCATTAGTGAAGACAAAACTAGTGTTGGAGAACGGTGTAGCTGGAGGATCTGTACGGTCATGAAAAAGAACGTTTTTACAGGACTCTATGCAGTCCTGACAAACTGTGAAAAACAAAGCACACTCTTACTGCTTCCATAGAAATTAAGAGTGCAAGTAGCAGCCAGGTCCTGCTAATCAAATGCACTTTAACTGATCAGCAGCAAGTGTGGGCACCTCAATAAAAGCAGAAGTTCGTTGGTCTTGAGCATTCAAGCGTGTATAAATAAAATGCCACGGTCTTGTGGATGTCTCAGCAAATTCACCCCTTGTTTAAGGAAGCTCCAAAAATGCAAGAGCTACATCTCAGTTGGCATTTAAAATTTTAAAGTTTATGACAGTAAAATCAGAAAAAAACTGAGCAAGTGTGGCTTGTCTGGAAGGTTTGCCAGGAGAAAGCATTTTATCTCCAAAAAAGAGCATGGCAGCACAGTTTAACTTCACAAAATTGCATCTGAACAAACCACAAGACTTCTGGGATAAGACCAAAGTGATGGAAAACAAAAACATATGAACACAAACGCCTCATACCAACCAAACACAGTGGAGGAGGGGTAATTATTTGGGTTTGTTTTTCAGCAACAGGACCTTCTCTGTATACAAACCTATCCTGGAGTCAAATGTGAGGCCATCTGTTCAACAGCTTAGGTTTGGCGGCCTAAATGAGGTCATGCAAAAGGACAATGATCCCAAACAACAGAACGACTAAAAAAGAAAAGATTTCAGGTGTTGTAATGGCCTTGTCAAAATCCAGACCTCAACCTGATAGAAACACCGTGGTACCTTGAGAGAGCTACGCACGAATGAATGCCCAATCCTCAATGAACTGAAGCAACCTTGTAAACAAAGAGAGACCAAACCTCATCCACAATAATGTGAGAGACTGATAAAGTCGTACTGGAGTGATTACTTTAAGTTATTGCTGCTGAAAGTGGTTTTATAGCTATTGGATCATGGGGTGCACTTAGTTTCACAGGAATGCATAGAGTCCTGAGAAAACTTTATTATTGGATTAGATTAGATTAGATTAGATAGAACTTTATTAATCCCTTGGGTGGGTTCCTCTGGGAAATTCGATTTCCAAAAAAGCACAGCACCGACAGAAGTTACAGAGTTACAGAATATTATATATATATATATATATATAATACACACACACACACACACACACACACACACACACACACACACACACACACACACACACATATATATATAAATACAGAGACAATATAAATAAAATATACGAAGGGGATAAATAGAATAAATAGGAATAAAAATAAAAATACAAGTGAATTGCACATTTCAAGTATTGAGGTCTATTGCACCGTTGACTATTTACAAAAGTATTGCACAAAAGGTATTGTACAGTGAGGTGAAGAGGCACTACAGCTTAGTTGTTCCCCCCTCCTTTGTCCTCCTGTTTCCCCTCCCTCTCCCTCCAGAGAGGAGTTAAACAGTCTGATGGCGTGTGGGACAAAGGAGTTTTTAAGTCTGTTAGTTCTTGTCTTTGGGAGAAGCAACCTGTCACTGAACAGACTCTTCTGGTTGTTAATGGCCGTGTGCAGAGGATGCCCAGCATTGTTCATAATGTCCATCAGTTTCTTTAATGTCCTTTTCTCTGCCACTGTCACCAGAGTGTCCAGCTTCATGCCGACCACAGAGCTAGCCCTCCTGATCAGTTTCTCCAGCCTGGATGAGTCCTTCTTTGCTGTGCTGCTCCCCCAGCACACCACAGCATAGAAAAGTACTCCAGCAACCACTGACTGGTAAAACATCCTCAGGAGCTTCCTGCAGATGTTAAAAGACCTCAGCCTCCTGAGGAAGTACAGTCGGCTTTGGGCTTTTTTATACAGGTGCTTTGTGTTGCATGACCAGTCCAGTTTATTGTCCACCCACAGCCCGAGGTACTTGTACTTGTTGACCACCTCCACCTCCTCCCCCTCTATCTGAACCGGCAGTGGACCTGCTCTAGACCTCCCGAAGTCCACAACCAGTTCCTTAGTCTTTGAGGTGTTGAGTTGCAGGTGGTTTGTGTGACTCCATGCGACAAAGTTCCTCACCAGACTTCTATACTCCTCTTCCTGATCATCCCAGATACACCCCATGATGGCTGTGTCGTCTGCAAACTTCTGAATGTGGCATAATTCAGAGTTGTAGCAGAAGTCAGAGGTGTACAGGGTGAAGAGAAGAGGGGACAGCACAGTTCCCTGTGATGACTGTACATATCCAACTTATTTTAAGACTAAACCTAAGGACTAAAACTCCCCTCACATGTGAATTAAATTATCAGCTTCCCATTGCTTTGTAGCTGACAGTCGATCTCTAGTGCTTATTGCAATCACACTGATTGCACATGAATCCATCATGTGTTTTCTTTGCTCCTTCTGGTAGTTGCCTCAACTGCTCGCCTCAAACTTGAGAGTAGTTATATTCACAACTTTCCATTGCTTGTGGTTATTTGCCTGTCATCGCTACAAAGTATAAATGTCCACAATAAAAATCTGAAAAATATTTCCACATTAAGGATAATACATCTTGCAGTATTTAGCTACACCCCTCCTTCAGCATGAAGCCCAGGTTCATTCATTCTCTCCTCGATTCATGACTGACAAGCACAAATAAAGGGCCTCCACCAAAGCGACTTTAATAGCAGTCGTGATTTTGATGTTTTAACAAGTCTGTCGAGAGCCCGTACCCCCCTCTGCCATTCTCACTTTGTGCGTTCATCACAAAATAGCTAGTCTGTGTCAGGGTGGTGGTGTGAGGCCAGTTTATTTTGTGAGGCGCCGCAGTGGCTAGCCAAACAAACAACTGATGTTCGATTGAGTCTTTGAGAGAGCAAACTCTCAGAGGGAGCAGCGGAAAACTTTGTTACAACTCTCTGCTCTCTTTCTCCGTCTGTCTGTCTCTGTCGCTGCAATAATCAGGTTTTGTTCTTGGCCAATGAGAGAGCGAGAGACGAAGAATGTTTACATTCAGTACGTATCCGCGGCAAAGTGTTGTTGCTGTGGGCAACAGCCGGTCTCTAACGGCCTGCTCTGAATAGGAGGAAGAATACTCTGCTTGTCCACTTGTCTCTCACTGCTATTCACCGTTTTGTGTAAGCATGTGTGTGCATGTGTGCGTGTGTGTGTGTGTGCAGGAGGGACCGTGTAGCTTCTATGTGTATGCGCTCATGCATTGTGGTGATAAAGGAGAATGGTAGAACTGATGAAACCCAGCAGACAGACGAGCAAACACCTACCTGTTTTCTTTTTGCTCCATCTCTATCCCCACACCCCAACCCCCTCTACATTTGAATACACCCAGCCTCAGTTTCAACTGGATGGCTGAACCATCCATGGGTAAAATGAATGCCAAACACCAAGAGACAAAGTATGCTGCAACTAGAGCAAATAAGAGAAGACAAGTTTAGTTTGCTGCACAAACCGTCTTCTCATTAATGCCAGGACTTCAGTAGCCCCACAGACCTATCATGTTCTGGAATCACTGTAGTTATCCCAGCACAGTTGGAAATAAATAAGATTCAGAAACATGGAAAAACTGTGGAAAGCAGGCATTCTTTGACAGGGTGGTGAGAAGCGTAGGCTTTATTTAGCCATTCATTGATCTAACTTGGGCTTTATTGGGGTTGTGACTATTAAGATCATTAGACCTGGTGCTTTAATGTGTATATGTCCCATGTGTTTATTTTAAGTGTCAAATGATCTTTTCAGCCACTCTTTTTTGGGGGGTTAACCACAAAATTGGAAAACAGTGTCATGGATGCTTAGGTGTCTGTTGTTTGACAACCTGTTATTCTAAAACTTGTGCAGATACACCCAAACATCTTTATGGACCAATGAGGGATTTTTGTGGTATGTTTTTGGTTAACCAACCCTTTAATTAATTAAGTTCATTTTGCAGGACAGCAGTGTCCCTCAACAGCTGAGCAGAGTCTCAAAGGACCCCCTCTCTTAAGTGCAGTGATTATAGCCCACTGGAGAAACTGAGACATGCCCAGAGCAGTTGTAGTCAGGCTCTATTTACACACTCTGGATTACTTTGGTGTGTGTGTGTCTGTGTGTGTGCATGTGGATATGTGTCTGCATGCTTGCGTGTGTTTCTCCTGGCACTGTAAGACCCTCGTGTCCTGCCATTCACATCGCAGCTGTTGTCCAATCACAGGGGCTAAAAAGCTAATCACATGACCCCACGTGAGCACACTTTGCCATGTCACTTGATGCCCTCTGTATTTGAGTGGCTTTTGCACGCACACACATGCAAGTGAAATGTTCTCACTCAGTGCTTTTGACTAAATAGGCCTGCCACTGCCGCTACGCTGCCTCCAGGCCGTTCAAATGTGTTCATCGCCTTAACTGACCACAGCATATATTGCCGTCACTTGAGGAGTTGGCTGGCTGCGCCTGTGATTGCAAATGACAAAGCTGTTACGATGTGAACTCACGCACACGCACAGAGAGCGACATACACAGTGGCTGAAAGAGTGACTTGTGAAAGTGCGACATAAAAAGGTTTCCCTTATATTCTCTTTCATCCAGTCTCTTTCCTCTCCCTCTCTCTCCGTCTTTATCCGGATGCCTTCACACTGACATCACCCTTTTTACTAGGCAAGTTTCAAAAGTAAAGACACCGTCACACACCGCAGGCGTACGGCCCCTGTAAAAGGGGCAGGGTGGTGTCCTCTTTATTAGCCCATGCCTGACATGGGAAACACAGTGGATCATGAGATTGGGCCCCTCATTATCACCTGACTATAGATAACAGGGTAGTGAAAACGAGCTCAGGGATGAATTAAGTTTGAGCTATTTTTGATGAAGTCAGTTCAAGGACAGTTAGACATGTTCTTTGCAGTTAGAGAAACCTATACCTGCAACATCGTATATTTTGAAATGATGTGAATTTATTTTAGTGTTAAGCCCCCAGAGGCATCCAGTATGGAGGAGTCCAGCCGCAAGAAGACCTAAATAATCGAAGAAGCCAGTGGCAAGTGGAAGATCAGTCTGTAAGCTAAAATAACCCTATAAGGATGTTCCTGTTGGGCCCATGATAAACACAGAATCATGGGCCCAACAGAAACATCTTTATAGAGTTATTTTAGCTTAACTGTTCTGCATATGATTAAAACAAACACTTGACTTTTTTCTTCCCTGATGAGAATGATCACAATAACAACAACTAATTGCTGTATATGAAAAAGCCATCTTACAGAAATGCTGCTGCTTGAATCTTTCTTGGGACAGCAACATGAAGGGTCCTGAAACAGACCACTCGCATATCTAGACAGCTTTGCTAACCCTTATCTTTGATAGCTCCATAGATGTTTGGCTCAGGTGCACACGGCTAATAAATTTAACAAAACAAAAATCTTTCCATCTTTTCTCTCTCTCGTTCCAGAACACTTTGAGATGCTACTTTCTTTTACATCCAATCTGACCAGCACTCTGTTTGACAGTGCCTACTCCGCGCTGGCGTCGGACTGTCGCCCTCTTGTGTTTCAGCTGTTCACTGACATCAAACGGCACCTTTCTGGAGACTCTAATTCCTCCTTGGAGAGTGTTGTGCGTCGATTCTACAATGACCTCTTCCCACTGGTCTATCGCCGCCTGCTCAACCCTGGTATAGGCCAAATGTCAGTCCGTACCTATAACTCCCTTTCAACCAGTCACGATGACTGCTTGCGCATGACACGGCGGGACGTCAGCCCATTTGGACCTCATCCTCGCCTACTCGTCAGCAGCCTGTCACGAGCACTCGGGCCGGGTCGAGCGCTGAGCCGACTGTTGAGACTGGCTGGAGAGGTTGTGAACGCGACCGAGAAGGCGACATTATCCAGAGACTGTTTGCGAGGGTTAGTGAGGATGCAGTATTGTTCCCACTGCAGAGGACTCACACTGATACGGCCCTGTACTGGACTGTGTATCAACATCATGAGAGGATGTCTGGTAAGTTTTTGGAAGTTGACTATTTTAGAAAACCCATCCTTCGCCTATTATTTAGAGCCCCAGTTTGAAAAAAGTTGGTACGCTGCTGGAATGTAAGTAAAACTAAATACCAATGATGCCATATTTTATTCACAACAGAACATCGAGAACATGTCAAGCATGGAAAGTGTGACATTTTACTTTTTCATATTAGCTCAATTTGGTCACACATCTCAAACAATATTGGGCAACAAAAGGCTGTAAAAGTAATTAAACTTAAAGAGAAAACAGCAGGAGGAACTTTTTTTTGGTAGCTTTTTTCTTTTTGTTGAAAACTTTTTCTCGGATCCAAAAATGTACGTGGTGTTTCATAACTCCACAATCCAGCTTCACATTATATTTTTTATTTTCTTTTATGGCAAATGTGGATTTAACCTCTGTACTTCTAAGTAATGAAGATCCCAAAAGCTTGAGTAGCTCACCAACTATGGAGTGGAAATGATTATCTGATAATCTCAAATGATTATCAGATTACATAAAAACTGATCCAAATGATGATGCATAGTCAATCCAAGATTCCCAACAGTTTACAAACCTAGTGTAAGCCTAATCTTAAACTTAGCAAGGGGGGGTCTGTATATTCTAGATTTAACAGGCAGCCAATGAAGAGAAACTAGTACGGAAAAAAATGGTCTCGCATTCAGTTTAGCTGCTGTTAAACTGAAGGCTTTTCAGGAAGCTTTCAGAAGAGCCTGATAATGATGAGTTATAACAGTCAAGCTTAGAAATAATAAATGCATGAGTTAGTTTTCCAGCATCACCCTGAGGCAGGGTATTTCTATTTTTACAGAAATTGTGCAACTGCAGGAAAGCGTTTGGATTGTTGTAATAAAAGGCAGCTGTCGTTAGTATAATTTATCATAAACTTTTAGTATAACCATTGCACTTTGGGGAATGTGGTGCTCTCTGCTGTGTGTCACCTGGGCATCATGTGCATAGCAATGAAAATTAATGCTGTGCCTTTTAATAATAACACTTAAGGGATGAATGTATAATGTAAATAGAACTAGTCCCAGCACATAACCTTGAAGAACTTTATAATTAACCTTCCACTGTTTCTTTTCCTGTTTCCAATTGTAACATAAAATCCCCATTTTTCCTGTTTTCCATTATGTATCCCCTTTAACTCTTGCAATCCGATGTATAGTTTAGAAATGTGTTTGCCACTGGGACTGATTTATAAGCCATTAAGATCATCAGAACCTGAATTAGCCTCAGTACTTTTTCATGTATTGCGTTATTGGTATTGTCCGCCTAATATTGTGTTACACCTATATTTGTCTTATAAATCCTGTTTGATCTGGTGGAATGATATGCGGAAGTATTGTTTCTAAACTTCTGGCTGTAATTGAAGTAAAAAGATTAGAGTCCTGATTCAAAACTGACATGTTTAGAATTAAAGCATTCCCATCCTTTGCTATAACTGCGATTGCCATGAGAGTTTCACTGGTCTGAAGGACACAATTAAATGTTTTCAGCGAGAGAGGAGTTAGTGGTTGTTTAAATGAAAATCTATTATTGTTGTTTTGAATTCCCCAAATCCAAATAAACTGGAGTGTGAGGGAGATCCGTTCCCCCAGTTCAGCACAACCCAATTCTCTCAATATCCTTAATCATTTAACATTAAAAAGACATTCAGTCTTAGTGTAGGATAAGTGAGATGTTGAGAAGAAAATATAATCCCTACTTTTAGGATTGAATTCATGCCATACATCACAGATTATTCTGGTGATAAGAAATACCTGATGCATCCTCGTATGGGTTCAACCTTGAGTTAAAGTCACTGACACTTATGACTTTGGTATGGTCTGAGTCTCATAAGTGAGTTTCTTGTATGAAAACTGTCACAGTCTGGCGAGGGCAGACTGTAGGTGTTGGCAAACGGACCCAAACGCAACTCCATAAACTGAACGTGGCGTAGAGTTAACAGAAAATCAGCCGTTTATTGAGGCCAGCAAAAAGGGAGTACAAACAGCAGGACACAGGTGAACACTAAACCATAGCCTAAACTGGGTGAACTAAAGCTAAACATGAAAAACCTTAAACGGGGTGAACTGACATAGAATGCTGAAGTGAGGGTATGGACAAGCAGACGACCTGACAAATGACATGCAAAAACAGAGGACTTAAATACACACGAGGTGATCAGGGGAAGTGGAGACACATGAGGAAACAGCTGACTAACATGAACCTAATGACAGGAGCAGTGAAGCTAAATACACAGAACCAAGAACACACGACTCCTTCCAAAATAAAACAGGAAACATAATGAAACGCAGACATGACAACCAGAACGTGACAACGTAAGACACAGACATGAAACACATGAAGAGCAGGGGAGACTTAACATGGGTTGGAAACACGAGGGGGGAATTAATAAGAACTAAAATCACCTAGGCATGGTAACAAATGAACTTAGAAAACCTGGAGGGCTTAAACATAAACTATAAACATCAAAATGAACTAAAACTCAAAACACTGGGTCATAAGACCCAGGACCGTGACAGAGCCCCCCCTTCAAGGGCGGATTCCAGACGCCCTAAACCACGAAAAACAAAACAAAAAACAAAAACAACCCACCAAGGGCGGGCGGCGGGGGTCCAGGACGGAGGGCCAGAAACAAGGCCACAAAAACAAAATGTCCAGTCCACAACCCCTCAGGGGGCTGACCCGGAGGGTGACGGCACAGGAGTTCACGGTCAAACAGTTCCGGGGGCCGTCCGTGCGGACGGCAACGGTGGCGACATGGAAACGGTTCAGGGGCCGGCCGTGTGGAAAGCAGCGGCGGCGGCGGCGACGGAGCAGTTCAGGGGCCGGCCGCGCGGAAGGCAGCGGCGGTGGCGAAGGCGACGACGGAGCAGTTCAGGGGGCCGGCGGAAGGCGGCTCTCTAGTGTCGGGTGCACTGGCCGAGGCCCGGTGGGCAAAGGACCAGTCGAGGCAGGACCAGATGAACCAGACGAGGCGGGACCAGACGGTGGCGTGGCAGCCACAGGCGACGGAGCCGGACCAGGCGTAGCAGATGCAGAGGCTGGACCAGGCGTAGCAGAAGCTGGAGCTCGACCAGGCGAAGCAGAGGCTGGAGCTCGACCAGGCGTAGCAGAAGCTGGAGCTCGACCAGGCGAAGGCAGGACCAGACGAGGACGAAGACTCGGATGAAGCTGGACCAGGCGAGGCGGAGGCTGGACCAGACGAGGATGAGGACTCGGATGAAGCTGGACCAGGCGAAGCACAGGCAGAAGCTGGACCAGGCGTGGCAGAGGCGGAGGCTGGACCAGACGAGGATGAAGACTCGGATGAAGCTGGACCAGGCGAGGCGGAGGCTGGACCAGACGACGACGAGGCGGCCGCAGGTGGCGGCTGGACAGGCTCTTCGGGCCCTCCAGCTGACGCGGCGTGAGGCTGAACGGACCCCTCGGACCCTCCAGCGGAGACAGGTGGCTGAACGGGCCCCTCGGGCCCTCCAGCGGAGACAGGTGGCTGAACGGGCCCCTCGGGCCCTCCAGCGGAGACAGGTGGCTGAACGGGCCCCTCGGGCCCTCCAGCTGACGTGGCAACAGGCCGGCTGCGTTCACATGACATCTTATAGGTATCAGTCCAGAAACAAACAGGTGTGAGATGTCTTGAGGCAGAGACCAGCCCAGTCACTGCAAGACCCATGTTAGTTGACATAATAGGTTCAGAAACAGAAAGCCCTGTGTCTACATTCCGCCCTTCAGACTCAATCAATGACATAACGTTATGGCACAGGTAAGCTGGGTCAGCCACAGGGAAAACAAGGATTACTATATTACCCACAAAAACATGACTTAAACCTCCAGGGGGAAGTCCCTGGGTGAACATGAGATATTCAGATATGGATCTGGGTGATGAGAATTGACCAGTCTGATAGCGGTAAGTGGTACATTGACTTGGGACCACGCTAGAGGTGGACTGTAACTCAAGGGGGTTATGTAGAGTGTATGGTGAAATGGGTACGGATAATGCTGTGCTAGCAACCATAGCCGAGACGGGTGACATTTCCGGCTGTGTGCTGGTGTTAACACTAACCTTGGGACTCAAAACCCTGTCCGATAATGTGCTCACAGAAACCTCGGAGATCTGTGTCAAAGTAACTCCGTGAGGGGACGCTACATGGTCATTAATAGTGGAATCGTATCCCCTGGTCTCAGACTCAATCCTCTGAGTAGAGGCGGCAGGGATGGAGGTAAACAGTCCAAAAACACCCTGCTCACGACTGTGGGGAAAACAGAATTTAGGTGGGGACATTTCACAGTTCGTGTTACCCTGATTAGAATCCCTGTTGTCACCTTTAAGTCCCAACATGAGGTCATGACCAGCATTCTTATTTTTAAGTTCATTGGACACAGGAGCAGCAGGCAAAACATGATCACACCTCGTCTCACCCTCCGTTCTTATATGCTCTGCGACATGACCCTCCTCTAAAAAATCCTCATTCGCTGTGAAAGCACAAGTGTCTACTTTAAGCACCTCGTAGGTGAGCAGAGCAGACTCAGGAAGGGAGGCGTTAGCCACAGGCAACTCAGCTTTAGATGGAACCCCAGGCGAAGTAACGGACAATGGAGGAAATTCCTCCCCCCCTCTTGTCACACAATTAGCTTTTAGGTCTGTGGAGGTCTCCCTCCCTCTAAGTATTACACCAGAGGTCCCTGCCAAATCACTGTCTACGGGTGTCTTCGGGGCAAAATCTCTGGGCGGCGGCCCGGTTAGCGTGCCGACTCATATGCTTACAGCAGGCGGAGGGGAGGCTGCGCGGCCACGGGGCTGTGGTGACGCAGTCCGCACACCGGACCGCTGATGCTGCCGAGGGCAGGCTGGGAGGATGGTGCGGAAGAAGTCCGAGATCAGAGGGGGTAGCGCCTCCCATAACCAGGGGAAAACCGTGACGCTTGTCCCCAACGAGTAAAGTAACTCCTCCCTCTCCTCCTCACTAGAGCTTCGG